AAAGTCGTCGGCTCGTCACCGCAGAGGCCGGGGTTGTTTGAATGTCCGGCTTACTTGAAGGGGACGCGCCCTAAACTACGCAAATATCACCTTTGTTCCGGTGTTAAAAGCCGTTCAGAAGACGGGACGGATCGTTGGCCGCGCTGGGGCATCAATCTTGTGCAGTCCAACGAAATGTTCACGGTACAAGGCGCTAAGTGACACGGGGCCGAGGCTGTGTTGACAGCGCCGTCCGCGGAAGAGACCTTGAACTGCGCGTACAGTCGTTTCACCCGCAACTTCTGTGTTCGTCACGGCATGAGGCGAGGAGGTGCAGTCCCTGCCGGGGCGAAAGTCGTCCTGACGAAGACAGCGCCTACATACGACGCTCCATCCGAAATGCAACCTGAACACGGAGTTGTATGTCGTGCTACTACGACCCGCGGACCGCTGCTTACGTTCCTGGCTCACCAAGACCCGTGGCTATGCTTCTGTTCTGAACACCGTATCATGAGGAGGCCGTAGAATACGTTCCGTTCCCACGTTCAGTAGTAGGACGGCTCGCTCTGCGGTTAGCAGTATTTCTGTAAGCTGTAATTTGGGCAATGGCTCTGCAGAAACAAACAGTGACAGCCGGGACTTAATAAGCGGGTAGGCGCTGCTCCAGGCGCCTTCCTGCCGGCCACTTGTGGTGGGAAACTGCGGTGCCTTACTCGGCCGCAATTTGACCCGCGAAATTAATATCTTCCACCCGAACTTTCGTTCCTACGACGGGCGTGGCGGCGCGTTGTGGTGCAGCTCCGGTGCCAAGAGACGCCAAGGTCTGAGGACGTTCAACAAATTAAACGTCTGGAGCACAATGTTTTATGAAACGAAAATTATGTCAGCCATCGTCGTTTCGTGCTCCATTCTCCTGGACCTGCGAACGATCCTAACACCAGACCCAGAATAATGCACGTTTGGACTCACGGGTCATTGTTCATTGTCTGCCCTGCGTTTCGGACGCGGCCTGCACGTCCTTAATTCTGAACAATTTTATTTGGTAAGCGGTTTGCTGTAGGAAAAATTCTGTTTCTGGCTTAAAGCTGTTGGTCGGTCTGCCGATTAACTCTTGGCACTGAGCGGGTGTTTGGCGTGTAATGCACACCAAGGCGCACTTCTTGGTGCAACAGTGGGCAGAAACGCCACCACGAAGACACGTCTAGACAAAAAAACAGAAATCAAGGAATTACGTAACAGACCAACAGCTGTTACGCATAAATAAAGACGCATCCGACAAAGACACAGACGCTCAGCCCCGCCAAACCAGGAAACCACAAAAAGTACCGTGGTTTTACCATGGTGATACCGCGGTGGAACCGTACATCCTGGGGACAGTTGCACCCTGCACCATCAAACGAGCTGGTAACATTCGGAGTGCGGTATTCTGGATTATTACGTCACATAGTCCGGTAAGTGATTACCGATGTTTATAACCTGACGGTGGAGGGGGCAAGTTCTTCCGGAATGCTAGTAACCATCGATAATATTACACTTCGGCATAACGCAAAGACCACAATCAAATTATTACAGTCGTAAAAACTTCCAGTCGCATAGACAATTAAGAATCTCGTCTCACGCGTGCTACATGTCCCTTCCATCATAAAATCCTTAATGACTGCTCGCCCTAATTACAAAGCTGTCCACAAAAGGTGGGGCCACACTTACTCAACTAAACTTCCCTTGGTCGCGCCATACGTGAAGCGATCAAATTCTGAGGCACTGGTTCGGTTCCAGTTCAATGCATCTGAGAGGCCTGTGACAACGCACGCACATCCATCACGTCGGCGACAGGTCTGACCAGCCGGCTGGATCGAACCTCTGACCCAAAAGTGTTCCGGCATCAGACACCGAGACTCATTACTTGGGGTGGGAGGGGGGAGGGGGGGACCGCGCTGTTCGGATGCCTACGATTTGTACCCGTCCCGTCTTAATTACCAAGCGGGGGCACGCCCCCAGCTCGTCCCCTGTTTGAGTCCCGAGGTCGAACTGCCAGGGTTATCGTGGTTTTCCCCAGCAGTTAAAGACTGTATCTGAAAGGAAGCTGAGTCTCCTCCATCGAAACATCGGTGTACATTGACTGACTGGCTTGATGACCAATTACACGCAGGCCTACAGACGCAGCGGCGTCTTCGCCCCACAGAGAAGCGGAATTTTGCAGACACTGGCACTGTCATGGAAACCAAGAGGTCAGTTTCACCGGAAGATCGCTAGTTCGTGTCCAGGCCGGCGCTGGGTCCACCCGAACGCCGTTATCATAGTGGCCGAAGCGTGAAGCTGACCAATCTCCTAGATCCAGTGATGAATGTGTTCACATCAACACACGTGTTCATAGTCATTTAAAAAATTCACGCCTCATACGGAACAGGACCTTAAATAATTTAGTTTTTAAGGAGACGCGTTTTCTTTTCGGGAAAATTTTAAATATTATTATTTAGCTGAGCTTTGCGCTTGACAAGTTGCAATAATATCCGGTCAAAATTCAAGGGCTCATGTGCTGATACGATGGGGCTCAAACGCCCCTGCAACCTTTACTCCACAAATTCAATTCGTAAAAAAAGATCTTCGTGGTACGAATAAGATCCTTAATTAAGTCCTTGAATCTGTTCATGAAGCAGCGGCTTTTACGAATTCACACAAAACTGAACATCGGCCACGCGATGCTCAAACGACGTGACGTGAATCGATTGTAAGGCGCGCACCAACGCCGGCGTCTGAGGAACGCGCTCACAAACATTTGCATCCAGTAACCCAACACCAGGCACGCAGGCAGGTAGGGTTATTGATGACTGGCTACGAAATTACTTCAGAGGCTGGCGAAAGTAAATCGATCCCCTGCGCCCAACCCCGGATCGAATTTCTCTGCTAATAGGCGCCCACCCGGCAGACGCAGGATGACCCACAAATCCTGCCTGCCGTTCTTTATTTGGTTAGGTTATTCGTTTGGAGCGACTGAAGGAAACCACGAAAAGTCTGGGTCTTGTCAGGGTGTTCCCGGCCAGAACTCAGTCCAGACGCGTTACCGCTCAGATAACCAACTCAATCCGACGACATAAAACATCACACATTTTTTCCTCGCGAGCAACATCAGATGCGAACTAAAGAACATTCTACCAGCTGATGAAATGGACTTCGGCGTTTATTTGGAAAAGTTTACCCTGAAGATAAGAGGTGGGAGAATCTGCTTGACGACACAAAACCGTCAAACCTCAGACGCGTTACCCAGGGCTTACACCAATTACAGATTCTTTTGGTAAAGGCGAGAGGCTTGGTCTACGGCGCAGAACCAGAATCCCAAGTCCCCTCAACGACAATGCAAGGCGTTACTGGCAGAGAAAAGAATTACAACGTACTATAACACAGTGACTTCTTATATGGAACATGCTGTACAGTTATCATAGGGCACAAAAACATTGACTGGGCTGGGCCTGCGTGCAGCAGGCGTACCACCTACTGGAAACATATCGACTTACGTGTATCAATCACATCTCTGGAAACATTTGAGCCCCCCCCCCCACCAAATGTGGCACGCAGCCCTCGACCAGTTCAAGGTGACTTAACTGAAATACAAAAATATATACACAGTCAAAATACGAATGAAGAAAATAAACCCGTAACACTTTGGTACAACACAGACACGCAGACGTCTTGGTATATCATGGGTAGTGTTCACACAGTCGATTACAAAATATTTCACGAATCGCTTCTGCCTAGAGTTCAAAGAGCTTTAAGTTCCTACAGTAATTGAAACGAACGATAAATACGAACCAACTTGTTACCGCCTCATAATGTCCGCTATAGTAAAACCAGTCGGCTTCCTCACGGCTGGCGGCGGTTCTAGCGGCCGTAGTGGAACCGGGGGCGGTGTCCTCACGGACAGATCGAGTAGCGCGGCGTCGCAGTGCGTCATCTCGTGACGCCTGAGGTCGCAGTTGCGGCGAAACAGTTTCGTGCAACCGGACGCAGTTGCGCCGGAACACCTTTCCGCAGGCCGAGCAATTGTAGGGCTTGATGTCGGTGTGCGTGAGGAGGTGCGTCTTGAGGTTGGAGCGCTGGTTGAAGCTGCGACTGCACACCGGGCACTTGTGCGGGGACTCCTCCATGTGCAGGATCTTGTGTACGGCCAGCGTCCGGGACTGGCAGAACCCCTTCCCGCACTCGCCACACTTGAACGGCTTCTCCTTCGAGTGGATGTACCTGCAAAGTTGCCAACAGCCTCTTAGCCAGACGCTGGTTCTCACATCAGCAACAATCGTGGACGCCTGAAGACCCGTCTGTGAGATAATTACCTACCAGGCCCGAAAACACCCTACCTGTGGTCCCTGAGGTGGTCTTGGCGTCGGAACGCCTTGCCGCAGATGTCGCACGAGTAAGGGCGCTCGTCCGTGTGCGTGCGCTCGTGGATCAGCAGGTTGTACGACTTGGTGAACTGCCGGCTGCAGAACTTGCAGATGAACTGCTTCTTGGGGCGAGACGCCGATGCGGCGCGAGGGCCGGAGCCGCCTCCACCGCCCCCAGTGCGACCTGTTCCCGCCGCCGCACACCTCGTAACGACGGGCGCCGGCCTGGTCTCCGGCATCCCCCCGGGGGCGTAGAACCGCGCTGCGGCCTGCCCGTAAAGCCAGAGCAGTGCTGGGTAGTTGGCGGGCTCTGGGGGCGGCAGGCACGGAAGCAAAGAGCTGCAAAACGGCCTGAAAGCCGACGACGTGGCCACGTCCTCCTCTCTGATGCACAACCCGAACGCCTGCATCTGCAGGTGTGGTTGACGGACCCAGCTCTCGGGCACGGGGGCCCGTGGCAGTTCCATGTCGCTGGAATTGTCTTCGTTGAACGGGAAGCGACCGTTCGGGCACTGAGTCGGCGTGTGTGGCGGAGTAAGGAGCGGAGAGGCGCTGTCGTCCTCCTTCAGCGTTATCGAGGAACCTGAAACACATCCCACGCGTTTAGACTAATTCGGGAACCAATGCAAGCAATCCGCACTCAACCTCTAATACGAATAATATTCACGGGATATTTAACTGCACAGGAAAGTTGGCGTCATTCAGTTCGCGCAAAGATTTCTCTCTAAAAACTACGTGGGCTTCTGTAGGCCTCCGCCCGTTTGTTGTTTCGGTCTCTGCCTCTGATGTAAAGCCGCGAATAATTGCTAAGGAAAATAGTTTTACCGAACAAGGACTCTGCACCTGGCAGAGACAAGGAAACATTTACGCAATTACGTGCTTCGTCAGCTCCTGGCATCGCTGTCTATAGTTCACGAGCTCATTTAAAGTCACTTAGTGATCTACTAACTACGGGCTGCAAAGAATTAAAAACTGTCCCGTCATGTAAGGGGGGCAGAGGAGGTATAGCTCCTACCCATCGTCAACCTCGGTATCCATTGGATATAAAACATTTTCACACGTTTTAAAGAACAAGTTTAAGCCTAGACAATATCCAACACGAACGAACAAGCTGTTCGTGGATTTATGTTCGAATACTTGTTTTTTTTATAACGCAGGTTAGCACGGTAGCCTACATAATTTACGCTGTAGTCGAACATCGGCGACACGCGAGAACGCAACATTCATTACTGTGGAATCGGTTATAGGGAATTTATCTCGTCTTTGAGAAATGTAAACAGATCGGACAAAGACGCGACTGGCGCACGGAAACTGAGGGCGCCATTTTACCATCACGGATCGAAAATATATGACAGGTTCCAAGTGCAGGAACGATAAAGCACCACACGCAACTCGTAATTCGTTTCGGACTCAACATAACTCTTAGTCCAGGGTT